TATGCGTACACATACACACATATACATACCTACCAAAGAGAAAAGAAGGGGAAGAAAAAAAGAAAAAAAAAAAAAAGACAAGTGGTCTATACCAAAACATTTCAGATGTTTACAATTCGGACATCCTCAAATTACAAATCCTCTCCGAAGAAGAACCGAAGTTTCAAATCCTACATAAGAAATAAAAGGTTCCCAAACTTTATAAAAGTTATTTTCTTTATCGTGCAGTTTGCTCGTCAAATAGTCCAAAGATATATAGTCCAGTACTATATTTAGCCATTGTGATTTACTTGGTGCTTTGTCAGAAATCCAATTCAGTACCTCAGTGTTTTTCAACCCCTGGTCCTCGGTACACTAGTGTGCCGTAGAAAATCATCCTATTTAACCTAATTGGCCTAAAAATACTTTTTGATAAGGAATCAATTATCTGCAAATAATATTCCATTTTTGAGTGTCTGTGCTGTAGTAGTAACTGGTGGCGTAATCATGTAATAATTCCTTATGACTAGATTTTGTATGTAATTGTGTATATTAAAGTGGACATGTTAAGTGCAATTTGAAAGAAGAAATATAAAATATGATAAAAATACATGTTTGTTTATTTGATTCCTATTCAAGACACTTAAGATAAGATAAGAATAACTATAGTGTTACTATAGGCGGCTACAGATTTGTTTAACATTTTTGGTTGGTGGTGTGTCCCGGGATTTTTTCAATGAAAAAATGTAACTTGGCTCAAAAAAGGTTGGAAAACACTGCAGTACCTGATGACTTTGAGGATGGCGTTCCTGTAGCGCAGAGGGTCGGACTGGACGTTGGGGTTGGTCAGAGCCCTCCGGAGCTCCTTCACCGTCTCCTCACCGCCCAAATACGGCATTATTCCCCTCAGATGACCACCAAAACAGAATAAATACTACGATTCACGCATTCATTTTTCCTTAAATTGGCTGTTTAACGTAGAAACCGTGGCCTTTCGAGCCGTTAGGAGCCGTTAAACCGAAATTCAAATCTTCAACTGGACGTTTTAACGTCGTCTGTAAAAAATATAAAATCACTAGCTAAACTAAAATACGAACAGAAACAAAGATTGAGCCTAAAACCGGACAGAAGACGTAAAATTCAGGATTTATTCCGCGGTAATAGGAGCAGCCGGGTTTGTTTACATAGTTTCTTCTTCTACGGTTTTAGCGCCGTAGAAGAAGAGTTTGCTGCCCTCTAGTGGCCGGAGGCGAAGTTAATTCCCTGTCCAGAAAACAGTCACATCTACTTTTCAGTCACTGGTTAATATGGACCCAAATTATATGTTATATTTCAATACTTCAATATTTCGATTAAAGTAACAGAGTTACAGGCTTTAGTAGCTGAAAACACTCAGCATTAAAAGTACAGACGCTGGTTTAGTTTCCTTATATCCTGAACATCAGGAGTAAACATTTATAATAACTTTAAAAGTTACGTTTTATTTTTTGTGCCTATTTGTTTTCCTGATGTATTACTGTGTGTGTGAATGGGTGAATAAGGTGCGTTGAATTAAAGCACTTTGTAGAAAGGCGCTTTATGGAGTTCAGTCCGTTTTATTTTATTAGTTTATGGGCAGTTCTGCCACATCCAAGATGGCGGACGCGCTGACGTATCGCTGCAACGGATAAACAGGCTCAACGTAAATATGTCTATGGTCTGTCCAGTCCACCAGGGTGGGGCCATCTGTGGGAATTAGTAAAAAGTGACTGTCCCAAACTCTGATTTGACAGTTTAAAACAGTTCTGCTGAAGTTTTCAGTAATTTGCCTGAAAAAACAGGAATAAGTGGCCCTTATTTAAGCACGATTTTCTCCCCATGAGCTAATTTATGGTAGTTTTATGTGGCATTCAGCTCACAGACTCACTGACATGATAGTGGAACGATACTATTCTAAACAAAGATCAGACCTACAGTGGGGGAAATAAGTATTTGACCCCTTGCTGATTTTGCAGGTTTGCCCACTTACAAAGAATGCTTATTTTTCCTCATCAGATGGTTATCAATTTTTATAAATTCATATGATGTGATTTTCTGGAATTTTCTTTGGGATTCTGTCTTTCACTGTTAGAATGTACATATGATTAAAGTTATAGATCGTTGCATTCTTTGTAAGTGGGCAAACCTGCAAAATCAGCAAGGGCTCAAATACTTATTTCCCCCACT